GAGGGGGGGCCGGCGCCGCCGCGCAGTACTGGGGCGTCGCGGGTGGGGGCGGGGGGGGGAGCGGGGAGGGAGAGGGGTAACCGGTCACGTCTGTTGCCGGTGGCGGCTCCTGAGGGGGGGCTCGCTCGTGGGTGTGGAAAATCTGGGTGTGGGGACCGTCAGTCGGTGTCTGTAAAAAGCGTTTTGGGATTTCCCGTCCCGTTGGTTTTGTTTTGCTGGGGTACAAAGGCTCTGCCTGCGTCCCGATGTGGTGAGATACTCCCCATCCAGCTCTGGAGTCCTCAGCACAGGAGGGACATGGACCTGTTGGAACGGGTCCAGAGGAGGCCACGAAGATGCCCAGAGGGGCTGGAGCCCCTCTGCTGTGAGGACAGGCTGAGAGAGTTGTGGTTGTTCAGCCTGGAGAAGAGAAGGCTCCAGGGAGACCTTAGAGCCCCTTCCAGTACCTGAGGGAAGGATGGGGAGGGAGTAGCTATAGGACAAGGAGTAGTGGTTTTAAACTGAAAGAGGGGAGATTTACATGAGATATTTTGAAGAAATTCTTTCCTGTGAGGGTGGTGAGACACTGGAAGAGGTTGCCTGGGAGAAGCTGTGGCTGCCCCATCCCTGGAGGGGTTCAAGGCCAGGCTGGATGGGGCTTGGAGCAACCTGGTCTGGTGGGAGGTGTCCCTGCCCAGGGCAGGGGGTTGGAACTCTATGATCTTTAAGGTCCTTTCCAACCCAAACCATTCTCTGATGGGGTGAGGGTCGGAGCAGGGCACCAGCCTGGGGCTCACCTCAGGCCCCCAACCTCCCGCATCCTCCAGCAGCATCTGAAAACACAGTCCTTCTGCTTTAGTGCTGTTTTTCACAAGACCCTCTGAGACTAGTACTGATTTTATAGGGTCAAGAATAAACATAGTAGTAGAGACCTACACAATGTGGATAAAATGTCTGAAAATACTTTCTCCTTAAAATTTTAACTGTTCTAGCCACAGTCACCCAGTGTCCAGGTGTGCCCTGGCTACTCTGCCATCCTGCTAAAGAGGAAGGCTGAGCTTTTCTCAGCAAGGGGACCTTTTTTGTTTCCAGTGGTAGTGTTTCTCCCAAAAGCACTTATTTTAAATAAAGTTTCTAAACATGGAGTTACTTTCACGATATCTCAGTCATATGGGAAAGCAGTATGTGTTTTCTCAGAGTGGAATTATTTGTTTAATTTCTGGGGAGCTGTGTTTGTATTACTACATTCAGGAGTGAAAAAAAGCATTATGTCTGCTGTGTTATCAAAAAGAGAAAAAGGAACCCTGTGCCGGTATGTTTGTGATGTGAGGCTCGTGGGGAAAATGCACTTTTATGCTTCATAAGCAAGTTGTTTCTTTTCCAACCTCACCTGTGGATATACTGGAGTACAAAAAAAACCAAAACAAAACCAATCTGATGTAAATTAATCACTGTTTTAGAGAACACAAGAAAACAAGTTGCAATTTACTTATGCAATTAATTGTTTGGCCTCTTAAAGTTCAGATGCCCTTTGTATTTGCACACTGTGGCTACCTCAGAACAACAGCAGTTTGCTTTAGCATGGGGCAGCTTGTCATGTTTTGTTTTATTTTGCTGGTTTAGGTTGTGGAACTCTGGCCGTGCTGGAACAAAACGAAGCTGGGATTGTTTTGCTCAGGAGGTAACATAGGTTTATGTTTTATTTTTGCAAGAGAAAAGTTTATTATGTACGTGTGAGTACCAGACGCAACAATAATATTTTGAGTTATTGTTTGGGTTATTTATTTGTACAATAAAAAGTATCATGTATATGCTACGGTATCTACTGAATACATACATGTCCTTGTATTTGCATACACAGGAATGTGTTAGTATTTACATACAGATGATAGGTTTACCTTGCACAGATTTTGTTGTAGGAAGTCCTTTCCGTAGTGTAAACCATTATAGAAAACTGACGATGTAAATTAAAGCAGCCTCTCTGGCCTAGTTGAAATTAAAAGTTTTAGTTTTTTAGCAACAGTGCGTTGCCACCTAAATTTATGCCCTTACGGTTGACTTACAGTGAAAACAGAGCAGGAAACTGTGTGAAGTCGTGGAGGCCCTTCCTAGGAGATGCAATATTCTAAGGCTTTGAGAGAAGTTTGGTTTGTGTTCTGGGTGGGAGGAGGAGAAAAGTTAGGTAGGAGGGGGTTTAATACTTGACCATCATTGACCTAGAATTTTTTTTGAAGAAAGTTTTGAAACAGCAAATGTTTAGATTAAGAGGGCTGAAATAGCAATGCTTAACACATAGTTATTCAGCGAAACGCTTTTAAATTCATAATTAAAAAGCAAGGCTCTTTGAAGCTGTTCAGCACACTGTTAGTCCTGCTAAATGCTCTGATTTAGTACTGTTAGTTTCTATGTTTCCAGTGAATCCACTTATTTTGTGGTAGAAAGTCCTGTAACTTCTTCAGCCATAATCTGTGTTGTTTTGTCTTTTGAAAGGTACTGTGTGCATGCTTCCCTCATCATTACTGCAAGGTGCCATGAAATTTAACTTGAGTTTAGCTGAACCCTCAGTGAAAAGGGGGTGAATAGATTCGTATTTGCCATCAGATAACAGCATTCTCATTGCTAGTTGTTGCAGAGCAACTATTATATGATATCAGATCCCATATGATGAATTGTTGGTGGGTTCAAAGGCCTTTTAAGAGAGCGTAGAGATCTTTAATATGTTCATGTCTGTCTTTCCATTGGTTTTTCATTGTGATTCAGCTTCCTAGTGGTGTTGGGAATTGGATAGAGCTCTCACAACGCAAACAGTTTTATTGCTTTGTTTACTACAGCCGTTACAGACAAAAGTCTCCTACCTCTGTAGCAACATCTTGGAGAAACCGTAAATCAGACTGAGGCAGGTGGTACCTCTGTCTCTGCCTGCCTGACAAGTTTAAGACTGAAATCAGATTTCATTCTCTCTGTGTGAGAGGTCCTTAGCTCATTTATGCTTTAACTTAATCAATATATTCTGGCATACAGTTGTAAAAGATGAAATTGTAACAAGTAAGTTACTTGTAAGAAGATTTACGAAACTCAAATATATAGATTGCTAAAGAGGGTGATTTAAAGAAACGCTATCTTTGCATGTAATTAGTCCAGACTTTTATGTTGTGCTTTCTCATGGACAAATATCTTTGTTGTTCCCATTTAGTTTTGACTGGAATGACGGCCTGTTTGATGTGACCTGGAGTGAGAATAATGAACATGTGTTGATCACTTCTAGCGGAGACGGATCTCTGCAAATCTGGGATACAGCTAAAACCAAAGGTCCGCTGCAAGTCTATAAAGAGCACACTCAGGAGGTAAACCAGGCAAACCTGAAAAATTTAATGGATGATCTAATATCTGAATTATTAAAAGATTTATTCGTGGACTTAGACAACAAAGCCCACTTTTGATTCTATTTTTTAACTTTTTGGGGCTCTTATTAAGTAAATGATATTATTTTGGATACAAAGTGAATTACCTATTATACATATTTGTATGTGCATTCATATGCTGTAGTGGTACTGCTTAATTACATAAATTAATATATTCAGAAATAGTGTTTGTGGTTTCTTATAGGGTAGGTGATCATTGTGTTGTGTAAAAGTACTGCAGTCGTTCTGTGATTTTTAGAGAGCATTATTGTTTAGGTCTAAATGAGACAGCTGATGCATATAGCAGTGTTATTCTTTAAGATGTAAAGTGATACAGATTATGCAGATCCTTAGGACTTCTGTTGTACCTGGAACTACTCATCTTTTTCTGTTCTGGCACCTGTGACATCCTGTTCAAATAACAGTAGTCAAATACCAGGACAGCATGTATTTTTTTTAGCCTTGGTTTGATATCATTGCATTTAATTTTCTTAAAGTCTCATAAATAAACTATTTATGCAGTGTGATAAGGGTAAAGAACAATGTTACGCTCGTGTCCATAAACATATTTGCATATTTTTAGGGACATTTATGCTTTAGTTTATTTATCTTTCCCCAATTGATTTTTCTACCCTTTTTTTTTTCATGCTTTCCTTCTAACTTCTCACTTCTGTCAAGTCTTTGAACTTTAGATGCAGTCAGTTTTAGCTTAGGTTACTGATGCTTTATCTAAATGACATAAATCTGAATGAAATTTACTAATAGCCAATAAAAATGGTGGAGGAAATCCAATTTCTTTACTCACAAAGACCTCAAGATTTTGTCAGATATGAAGCACAAAGCTAAAAGCTGAGTGACTGCAGCTACATGACAGTCTGTCTTCTGCACCTTATTTCTTTGTAATTTTGGTACTTTGGTTTAATACATATCCTATGTAAACACAGAATTTTAAGAGATGAGTTTGTAGTAGTGATCAGGATTTTATGATGGTGTTCAAAGGCTGGTGGTAGTAACAGAAAAAGGTAGGCAAAGCATAATACCATATTTGGGTTTGGGTTTTTTTTTTGTCTCTATCATTTTCTCATTGAAATCCTGTCCATAAGTTTATTTTGGTTCTGCTACACCATCTGTTGTTTGTGAAATAAACATTTCTGTGTCCAAGTCTTAGTTTAGCAGGTAGCATGGGGAGGTGGATGCATTCAACCATGAATTAGAAAGAGAGTTTAGGAAACATGGGCTGTTTATTGCAAGATACGAAAGGTTGAATTGATTCTTTATAAACATGCATTAAAAGGCTAGATCTCAGAGGGAATAGAGCTAATAGTTTGTGGTAAACACTGACAGACAGCCTTTTTAAAATGATTGACTACCCTCTTAATCCTTAATCCCTGTCTGACATTTCTAATGACAATTTTGTCACTGCATTTTATAATATTTCTAGTGCAAGATTGACAGGGATCTGTTTCTTGTTTTCTAAATAAGATTATTGTCCCTCCTCAAAAAGAATGTGCATTTTTAATTTGAAAGCGCATCTTAATTATCAAAGGACAATGAGTTTTATTCCAACACTAACCAACTGCTGAATCTCATGCATAAATTAGACTAATTTACTTCGGTTTTGATAAAGTCTCACTGGAATGTGAGACAATAGAATGCTTGAATTAAATTTGTCTTGTAAATTCAGCCTGAACATTTATATGGAACTGGTTTTTATGGGTTTACATCTTTTTTTTCTTTTAAATAATCTTTTCATCTTGCCTGAGGCATTTCTTGCTGCTGTTTAGGCATAAACTAGTATTAATGTATTTTATGATTGAAGATAAAGCACTAAAAGACTGAACAACTAAGGTTTATGCTGTGCTGTTAGTCTTTCCCAGTTGCTCAATCTGTAAATTTATATTGGATGATGGCATGAAAAGGAAAGAAGAATAAAACTTGGTTCTCCACACCTTCTTCTTTTCATCTCTTCCCGTTACCTTGATCTGTCACAGACCAAATGGAAAATAGCTCTTGCTTTTTCTGAGCCTGTTGTCTGCTCCGTTTGTAATTCTTGCCCGGAGGAGGATTTGCCCAGGTGCCTCCTCTGCAGCTGCAGAGTGCTGGGCAGCCCCAACCCTGTCTGCCATATGGACACACACCCCTGTCACGACGTGTTCAACACATCTGCGTGCTGATAGCTTGCGTGTGAGCTGGAAGCCATATGTGTGCTTTGCCTTATCTGTGCAGGAGATCTGATCCATCACAAACCTGTGGGGGGTAGGGGAATTGTGGGATACGGGTGTATTTTTCTTTCTGGAAAATCTTGGACGTGAACATGAGAGCCAAATGGTTTGAATGGGGGAGGGACTCTTTGCCAGGAAGGGTAATGATAGGACAAGGGGAAACGGTTTTAAATTGGAAGAAAAAAGATTCAGATTAGATCTCAGAAATTTTTTACTATGAGGGTGATGAGACACTGGAACAGGTTGCCCAGGGAAATTGTGACTACCCCATCCCTAGAAGTGTTCAAGGCCAGGCTGGATATAGTCTTGAGCAACCTGCTCTAGTGGGAGGTGTCCCTGCCCTTGGAACTCGATGATCTTTAAGGTCCCTTCCAACCCAAACCATTCTATGATTCTATGAATGGAGCTTGAATGGAGCTGACTTCTTAGGGCTGTTGTGCGAAAGAGGCACACTATGTAGGGATACATTTAAGGGCATTTTCAAAGAGCAACAGCTTAGAAGTTGAACACAGGCCATCACACTGATTCAGAGGGAAGGAGAGAGGGCCATGTTTGTGAGGAGCTCAGGAGCCACTTTGGAAAACCATGATGTTCAAGGCTAGGCTGGATGGGGCTTTGAGCAACCTGGTCTGGTGGGAGGTGTCCCTGCCCATGGCAAGGGGATTGCAACAAGATGATCTTTAAGGTCCCTTCAAACCCAAACCATTCTATGGTTCTATGCTGTCTTCCATTCTTAAAATATGAACAAGTACTTGTGTGTCTTCTTCATTATTATTTTAATAGGAGTCAGGTGGAAAGGGAGGGTATTTTACTGAGCTGTTGTACTGATAGTTTGCTGACAAAAGTAGAAAAGCCAAGAGGTAAAGGCTTGGTTTGGAAAACCAAGAAAGAATTACCTCTTAGTTTGGTGTTTGGCTTTTGTTAAGTACTGTCTCAGTGTCTTGTACATTTGGATTAAAAGCTCCTCAAGGAAGGGAACTAGCACAAAATGGTGCCAAAGCAATATGCCTTTCACTATACGGGAAGCAGGATATTGTAAAATAAGAAAGGAACCTGGAAAAGATGAAAACAGGAGTATTTATGGCATGGATTTCTTATGAGAATTAGATACCATAAAAAACTATATATTGTTAGTCAGCCAATACCCCAAAGTCAACTCCATAGTCAGCTCTGAAGAGAGATGGCATTTACATTGCTAGTGATTAGAAACTGTAGATGTTTGATTTCTTATCCCTGATCCAGTTTTATTCAATTTAAATTATGGCTTTTTACAGTAGTAGAAACTTCTAGTGATGGTAGGTCTCTGTAGATTTTGTTACAACTTTTTTTTTTTCCCCCTCCCTCCCATTTTGGCCCATTTTTACTTTTTTGGATACTTTCCTGAGCCTATATGTACTTTAATGCCAGACTGAGATGTTAAAATGAATTTGTGTTCAGGTAAATGACATTCTTGGCAGCTTTGTGGTGTCTGACTTGTGTGGGTTTTTTAGCTGATTATGATACAATCTGCAAATCCAAGTCTAGTTAGCCAAAGTTTCATGAAATAGAGTCTCAAGCTTGGATTCTAATGCTCTTTCTAAAGTAGGTTGTTGTATCGTTTATAGGCATATAGTGTTGACTGGAGCCAAACTCGAGGAGAGCAGCTAGTGGTGTCTGGTTCATGGGATCAAACAGCCAAGCTGGTACGTTGCTTTTCTGCTGAAGGTGAAAAATGTGATTTGCTTTGGATCTGATGGTTCTTTGTGTTAAGAAACAGCATTGATTCACTTTTCTTCTTTATTTTTACACTGAGGCTGAAGTTCTGTTTTAACGGAGACCTTGCTTTATCCCTCAGTTGATATCAGTATACAAATATTTTTCATGATGCATGGTAAAAAGTTCATTTAGTCCTTTCTGTATGCATAAAGCTTTTTTTAATATATGAAACCCTTTCCTTTCTTACTGAATGTGTACCTCAACAGTTTTCTCTTTACTTTATTCAGTGGGATCCAGCTGTGGGGAAATCATTACGCACTTTTAAAGGCCACGAAGGGGTCGTTTACAGCACTATATGGTCTCCACACATCCCGGGCTGTTTTGCATCTGCCTCAGGTAAAGGGGGTTCTCACAATTTTTAAAAGCACCTTGTATGTTACTGGATTAGTTCAGCACTTTGTCCAGCAGATGGTAGTGTGTGTCATACATTAAAATGTTTAAGGAAAAGCTTATTGCTGCAGCTGGATTTGTAAGTTCTTTTATAGAATCATAGAATTGTCCAGGTTGGAAGGGACCTTTCAGATCATCTAGTCCAACCATCAACTTAACTCTGATAAAAACCATCACCAAACCATGTCTCTAAGCACTAGGTCAACCTGGCTTTTAAATACCTCCAGGGATGGGGCCTCAACCACTTCCCTGGGCGGCCTGTTCCAATGTTTGATAATCCCTTCAGTGAAGAAATTTCTCCTGATCTCCAATTTGAACCTCCCCTGGCGCAACTACAATATTTGTTTCAGAAGCAGAAAAAATGTGTGATTTCAATGCCCCGGCTACACCCTCCTTTCAGGGAGTTGGAGAGAGCAAGAAGGTCTCCCCTCAGCCTCCTCCTCTCCAGGCTCAACACCCCCAGCTCCCTCAGCCTCTCCTCACAAGACTTGTGCTCTGTAAATCATCCTCTCAGTCATTTAAACAGGGATCAGCAGTTTTCTAGCAGTCACTTCAGTGACTGGCAGTTTTTTCTGTTACTTTACGTAGCTGTCTTCCATTCACCTTATTCTTGTTGACCACTAAATCAGTTTATATGCTTTATTTTGTCTTCCAGCTTATGTTTTTTGTTCAGATTATCTCAAGTGTCAGTAGACTGTTAGCTCTGTGAGAAACATACTCAGTTCCCATTGAACTGTGTTAAGTACTTCTGGAGATCTCTGTGCCTCCTTCTTTGGAAAGAGGAGTCAGGAAAGCAAAATTGAGTCATCAATTTTACTTTCCTGCTTTGGCCAGCACTATGAATCTTGCTGGTCGATATAATAATAATAGAGTTGGGTGTACCTAGAGGCCAAGAGGCTGTATGGTGAGGTGGCAGTGTTTTCCAACCACTGCTCCTGCTCCAGAGGCACAAGAAGAGCTTTGAAGTGGAGCCTAACTGTGGACTAACTGGGAGAGGGGTGCTGTGAGCCACGGAATTTGCTTGGGAGATAGAGGGGCAGTAAGATACTGCCTTAATACAAATATCAGTAGACTCCAGTGGCTTAAATTTCTCTGATTTCTATGCTAATTTAAATAGAAATTGTTTAGCTCTTATATCAAGAGGGTAAGCAAGGATAAATACGTTTTCCTGTTACTGAAATGAAGGAGAGACAGTGAGTACACACAGATAGTGGTCTTCTCTATTCCATAGGAAGTGTGATGAAAAAGAACATGTGGATTTCATAAAGTTTCAGTCTGGCTGTTTCCATCTGACTCTCCTTGCAGAGTTGAACTAGAATGACTGGCAAATTACATGTGTTTCTTCTAACGCAGTAGTGCTTGGAAGCCAGGTGCAGATGCACAGATATTTCCAACTTATTTGAAAATTCATTCAGGCAACACTTAGTGAGGTACCTATTTAATAGGATGTGCAGAAACTTACAGGATTGAGTCCTGTACATTGCATGAACAGTTCTACTGAAATGCAGATATATACTACAAAAGACCAGCTAAGTACCATTTGGTCAAAGTTAAGTGGAGAAAACAGTGCTTAGTGGTTTTTTGCAAATTCCTGGGGCTGTTATGATCTTTTTAAAGTCCTGCTCAGAAGCCTCCCCTCCATGGCAGCCTTACTCATACAAAAATTCTGACGTTCTAGCTGAACAAAAGGGCTTTACTCATCCAGCAAGTTATTTCCAATTTGATTCTCTAGGCTGTGAAGCCAAACTCTCTTCTAATACATTGCCACTTGAACAATTTTGGGAAACACTGATAGTCAGATGGTGTATGTGGTGGTACTTAAATTGGGTACAGCAACATACAATTGATCTACCGAGTGACTCAGCAGCTGTTGGAAGTTTTAACTAAAACACTAAAGAGTTGCTATTCTTTTTGAATTTTACTTTGACTCATGAAAGGGACTAACACATACTGCTGGAGCTTGAAACTAATTGCAGTCAGTTTTCCCCAATTGATGACTCCATAGTATATTGTAGGAAAAACAACACGCACAAAAGATACAACATTTTTCTTTAAGTACTACTCAGGTGTGAAATAAAATCTTACAGTGTAGTGCTAGGTGTAAACTCCTCAAATAAGAGAAAATTAAGCCTTCAAAATGATGGTGAACTTTCTTATGGTTTCCAAAATAAAACATCTGGTGTGCAGCTAAATGAAATAACTTCAAACCAAAGATCTCATGTAGAAATCATGACATACAGACGTGGAAAAGGTTTCTTCATTTGCTTTTGGTTTTAGTTTTACATTGGATTTTTCCTGTGGTTTGATTAGTTTATTTCACTGTAGAAATTATGTATTGGGAGTTTTTTCTTTGTGGGTTTGTAGGTAGCAGAAGTACTCGTGACCTCTAGCTATGGGTATAAATGCCATTTCCATATTGTAAGAAAGGCACATCAGCCAGTTTATGTGGAGAGCGACTTCAGTGTTTAATGGCATTCTGCTCTGTCAGTCAAGACATGGGATAAAAACCAGGTGGAACTGTCTGGGAAGCTGGACCTCCTCATTTGAAACTTGCAATGATGAAAAATATGGGACAGAAAGCTTAATTTCACTGATGACTGATCTTCTATTGAGCTGGAGGAAAAACTGCCATCTCCCCACGATAGCGCTGTGTGGAGTTTACAGCTGCTCCCTGCTTTGCTACCCATGGCTGGAAGGCTTGACCTGAAGTTTTGTGGTCTCTTCTTTTGCAACGTTGTGTTGTCTTGAAAATTAGTAACTGGAAATGTGTCTGGAGGGAAACTTTTTGTTCTGTCTTTCACTTTTTTTTTCTTTTCTTTTTATTCTTAAAAACTATAACTTGTTGAAGGGCGTTGAAACACTTTCTTTTTGAAGGAGGTGGTGCTGCTTTTGGGCTGTAGTGTCTGCATGTGTGTTCTTCCTCTCTGTTGCCTCTCCTTTCATCTTTCTGTCATCCCACCTCACACATACCTGCTTGCAACCGCGTGCTTAGTCATATCTTAATAGTATAAAGTCTTAGCACTTCAGAAATGAACAGTTTCATGTGTTAGTAAAATAAGTTAAGTATATTGTTAGGAAAAAATGTTGGTCTTGAAATGCTTCTGATTTAACTAAGTAAAGCAATGCACTTTTAACTTTATTTTTTTTATAGAAAATAAGTAAGAGGGAAGGAGTTTTAGGAACCTTTTGCATGCCTCACCCCTGCCCTTTTTCTGCCTTTATTTGAATATGCATAAATGCCAGGAGAACTTTAATTTCCACTTAACTAATCAGTTTGTGAACACTGAAAACAAAAAACCAAGCACAACTGTTAGCCACAGTAAAATAGCTGCTCAGAGGACTACTGTGTGCCTAGACAACTTTTGCCTGAAGGTAATCAGGTTAAATCTTTGCTTTCAGAATATGACTTTTTCTCAAACTGTTATGAGACTAGGAAAAGAATGAGTGAATAAAATGGCCAACCTAAGACAATATAAAGCAGTTGAAAAAGAATTTGATACTAAGCTGGTTATTTTGCTTCATTAAGTCTCTGGTCTGAATACACACAGGAAAACTAAGTTTGTCTGCAGTGGACAATAAAATGCAATTGAATTACAGAAGATAAATATGTCTGATGCTTCAGTTAAATTAGCTTTTATTCAGCATCTAATAGGCTTCCATTTAACATTTACAGGGATGTGTGAGGTACTTCACGATGCTGTTGCCTTCATGTACAATCATTTGTAGTCTCAAAAAGCAAGGCAATGGCTTGTCTCTTTTTGTTTGGAATTGGGAGTTAATAGTAACAGAACAAACTGTAAATTCTGTATATGTAAATAACTGCTGTTGTGATGTCAGTACCAATTTCTGAGCTGATAAGATAAGGGAGATGTTCAGCTGGACGTGTGGCACCAACCCAGGGCCCTGGTAAATGTCTGCCTTACACTGAAAAAAAACAGTGATGTGGAAAATGTCATTAAAGAAGTGACATAAATGTTTAACAGCATCTTCATGGCTAAAAGGCTTTAATGAGTCATTGTGTCATTTGCCCAGAAGGTCTCTTGAGGGTTTTTTAGTGTTTTTTTTTTTTTTTTTTTAAAAATGTCCAGAGTTTGATTGCTCATCAGTCAGTTTAAATTCTTTGACATTGTGTTTGATAAAAGCTATAGCTTGTTATGTGCATGATTTTATGGAATCTAAATAGAGAATAAATGTTTTGTAATTCTATTTTTTTTTTTTTTTTTTTATCCAGAGAGCAAATTGGTGAGAAGCACATCAAGAAAGTGCCAAATGCACACAGCATTAGTACAGAGTCAAATATAAATCAGTTCTACTAAATGACTCTCCATAACTGGAGAGCAATAGGCCCTGCTTGGTCCTGTGCTTTATAAAGAAAGCATCCTTTATAGTATCAGCTGGTTTTATTGCCCCTTAAATTTAACAGTAGGAAGTAATTAATGAGTACCATTTTAGCCTTATCTGCATAACAGTAGTATTCTTCAATGCAGATATGAGACCAAATATTTAGGATTTAGCAAAGCCCAGATCTAGAGTGACTGGTAGCTTTTATCCTGGCTACTGGGACCTCAGTTTTAATGCTGCATTCATTTTTCAATCATTACTACACTTTTTAAGTTTACTCATCAGGGTAGATACATAGTTTTTATAACATCTTAAACAAATTATAAATAAGGGAAATAATTGTTTCTTAAACCATCAGGATAATGCCTGTATTCCTCAGTATTTAGATCAAGTAATTGTATTCTTTACTCAAAGACTTATTTTGCAGACTGAAAGCCCAATGCAAAAAATTTTCTCCTACCACAACAACGTGGGATCATTTCTGAGAAGCTTTTATTACATTGATAAAAGTGTTGGGGAACTGTCACTTTGCTGGTTTACAAATGATCACGTAAATCCAGCCTCCACTCTTTGTAAGCCCTTGCATTCAGTGCTCAACTTTAAGGTTATAATTAAAAAACACTGTTATCTCGTATTTT